AACATACTTGTTTCCTTCAAGAGATCAAGTGGATACTTTCTCTGAGATACTTAGGTGCCTTTATTTAATCTTGCAACTTCTATGCCAAGAAAATATTTCAAGTTATTGAGGTCTTTCACATCAAATTCTTTTGTCGAAGCAATCTTTATTCTTGTTATTTCCTTAAGGTAGTCTCCTGTGAGAATAATGTGATTAACATATACAATAAGGATGCACCTTTTGCCTCCCTTAGTTTTTAACAAATATCATATGGTTTGACAATCCTTGTTTGTGGCCTTCAAATTTGAGATCTTTTGAGAACTTGTCAAACCGTGCCTTAGGGACTACTTTAGGTCATACAAAGATATCTTCAACCTGTACACTTGATCACTTCTACCTTTATCAAATCTTGGAGGGAGTCATGTATACTTCTCTTTTAGGTCTCCATTGAGAATGACATTCTTGTTATCAAGTTGATGAAGTGGCCATTCTAGGTTGGTTGCCACAGATAATAAGACTCTGATGGTGTTTAATTTTTTCATTGGTGCAAAAGTTTATTTGTAGTCACTACCATGTGTAGGGAACGCCTCTTGCTACTAAGCGTGCTTTTAACTTGTCAAGAGTACCATCGGCCTTGTACTTTGGGGTAAATACCTACTTGCAGCTTGCAAGTTTCTTGCCATTTGGTCTTGGAACAACCTCCCATGTTCTATTCTTCTTAAGTGCTCTCATTTACTCCATAACTGCATTTTGTCATTTTATTATTTCTAGTTACTCTTAGATGATGTTGGGAATTACAACTTTGTCCAGTTTAGTGACAAATGAAGAGAGAGCCTTGTAGGACGTATGTTTTTGTATTGGATGTAGAGTACAAGAATGAGGTTGTTCTCTGAGAGCAATGGGTAAATCAAAATTAGATTGATCACTTGTTTAGGAATTTGCTGAGATGGAATTCTACCACTAGTTTTGACTCCTTTGGTGCCTTACGTACAACGTGCTCTCCTTCCTTAGACTTCTGCCTTCATGAGTAAACCATCAAGCCTTTATCTTTCTTCTTTTCTACATCTCCCCTTGCTTGAGTTATTTTTGTGATGGCACAAGAGATGGTGTGGGCAAAGGAGAAATGGTAGTAGAAGATAAGGGTGATGGTTCTAGTAATAGTTCTGTTGGTGTGAAACAGGAATCAAGGAGTACTTGTTCGTTGTTAGTTTCTTGTTCTCAATTTTGAGATTTACCTGTACTCTCCCCGAATTGAAGGATTGGGATAGAAAGGTGTGTCTTCATGGAAAGTCTTCTGAAGACTTAGAAATGTGTGTTTGGAAACAGATGAAAGCATTTGTATCCCTTTTGAGTAGGACAATAGCCAAGAAAGATGCATTTGGTAGCCCAAGGACCAAGTTTAGTGTTTTGATGGATATGGACAAGGCAGTGCACCTAAATACACGAAGAAGAAGGTTAGTATCAATATGGGATGTTGAACAAACACTCTGCAATTTTTGGAGAGAATGTTAGATGATAATATACAACTGGGCATTTGGATGATGAGATAGGTAGTAGTGAAAATGGCATCTCCCCAATAAAACTTTGGAACATTGTGATTGAACATGAGAGCTCTAGCAATTTCAAGAATATGTCCATTTTTTCTATCTGCAACTCCATTTTATTTAGGGGCATGGGTACAAGAACTTTGATGAATGATACCATGCTTGAGAAGGAAAGCACTCAAGGATTTATTGAAGTATTTAGTACCATTGTCGGTGTGCAAGACTTGAATACTAGTATTAAATTGGGTTTTGGTCATGGTCAAGAAATTTATAAACATAGATGTGGCTTTTAGACTTGTCTTTTAAAAGTTAAACCCAACAAATGGGTGTGATCATCAATGAAAGTGATGAACCATTTCGATTTGTATGGTTTAGGATACGGGGTGGTCCCCACAAGTTACTATGGATAGTAGCAAATAGATTGATAGTTGTGTTTTGAGCTTGAGGGAAAGATGTTTGATGATCCTTTGCTAGTTCACACACTTCGCATTGGACATTTTTGGTATTGGTTGAGAAAACCGATGGAAACAAATTATACAAGTATTGAAAATTCAGGTGACCTATCCTCTTGTGTGATAAGAAAATGTTAGTTTCTTTAGAGGTTGATATAGAATGGCATACGCGGTGTTTGAGCCCCTTGCAATTTGTGGCATGTCCAATCGTCATCCCTTACGATAGATCTTGAAAGGCACAATGAGTTGGAAGAAAATTAGCACCACCTTTAGATTGTTTTGTCAGTAGGCTAACAAACAAGTTGCATGCTAATTGTGGCATATGAAGAATAGATTCTAAAGTGATAGATTCAAAGATATGAATACTCCCTTTCCTTGCAATAGGAGTAGGAGACCCATTTACAATTTTGACTTTCAAATTTCCAATGCATAATGTAGAAAATAATTTGTGGCTATCGGTCATATGATCTGATGCTCTAGAATCAACAATCCACAAAGTTTTACCTCTTGATGTTTCCAAGGCTTGAAGAAAATTACCTTGTGTGCCAAAAAGACAGATATTGACTTTGAAACTTGGTGTACACATGCTACATCGTATTTGATAGCTTTGGATGGCAGTTTAGCATGCTTCATCACCCATTGTTGAAAACTCATGAGAAAACAAGTACAAATCAGATCAAGAAGGTTGAGACACATTACTTCTAGGATTGGAAGCCCCATTCCCCTAAGGAATTTTTGGGTATTTTTGTTCTCTTGGGTCCATTCTATTTTGACAATAGTCACAATCAATGAACATGGTGACGACTTGAAATACCCACAGTTGGAAAACACTAGGATTAGGCAGGAAATAGTCCGTCGTTGCTAGAGTAGGTCATTGTTGTCGGAAAACATCCTTCATGCGCTACCATGTGCTAGAACTCTCCCTTTCACTCAGAAAGGATGAGTGGTGCAGGTGACAATCATGTGCCATCGATGGACACCAAACTTTGGGGTTATGTTGATTGGAGGTCTTTAGTCCTTCCTTGGTTGGTGGTGCGGTCCAACAATTTCTCTTCTCCTCCATTAGGGTTTTAGCTGATGGTTTGAGACTATTCATGCCACAGAAACCCTAACTAGGGTTTTGATCTAATGGGCTTTGATGCCACACAGGAAATTTGAGAAGAGAAAAATGCATATTCTCATTACAATGGAGCTACACAAGGGTATTTATACATCAAAGTAGGAGATAAAATGATAAAGACTAATAAACTCTAATAATGTCTATTAACTCCTAATAAATAGAAAATAATAATATTCATAATAATTACAATATCATCACAATCTTGATCTTCCAATTGCTCTCAGGAAGAAGCTTTGATCTTGTACTTTGTATCCTATATAAAAATTTATATCAAATGGACATCTTTCTCTTCTATATCATGCTTTAATAACTTGTCTAAATAGTGTAAAGGCCAAATAATGTGGAAGAGATGGAGGAATTGGGGCAAAAAAGGCACCTGGAAGAAGTTGATCTCCTAAGAGGGAAGGGGCCCGTTGGGTATAGATGGATGTTTACTATGAAGTGTAAGTCAGGTGGGGATAGGAAGATACAAGGCTAGACTAGTGGAGAAGGGCTTTACTTAGACTCATGGAAAAGGCTACACAGAACATTTGCACCAATTGCAATGCTAATATTGCTAGAATCCTCTTGTCCTTGGTTGCTAATATAGCTTGGCCTCTCTGTCAATTTGATGTGAAAATGCCATCTTGGATGGCAACTTAAAGGTGGAAATGTATTGGACACTCCCTCCCAGTTTTACTAGAGGAGGTAGTAATTAGGTTTGCAGACTTAAAAAAAAAAAAAATCCATATGTGAATTAAAGAAAAGCAATCTCTTGGGGCTTAGTTTGAAAGATTTACTCAAGTATGCATGATCGAAGGTTACACACATGGGCAAATAGATCACACAATCTTCTTTAGACATTGAGAGGGTAAGAAAACAATTTTGATTGTTTATGTTGATGATATTTTATTCCCGAAGTTTGGAGGAGATGGAAAGACTAAAAGTGGCATTTGTAAGAGAATTTGAAGTAAAAGACTTGGGGAGAAATGAAATATTTCTTGTGATTGGAAGTGGTTAGATCAAAGAAGAGAATTTATGCATCTTAAAGGAAATATATTCTCAGTTGCTTAAAGAAATAGTATGCTAGGATGCAAGCCAAATGACACTTCTATAGTGACTATGAAGAAGGAAAACAAGTCGTGTGACACCCCTAATTTAGGTGCAACAACAAGAACAAGTAGCCTTGTCCCACTAAGTGGGGCTAGCTATATGAATTGCATGATATTGTTGTGTTTTATTAACAATCAAGCTTTTCGGTATGTTGTTAATCAAAAGTCTCGGTCAACAATTTCTTTGAGTGTTTTCTTTGGTTTTTCTCCTCCCCTCTTCATAAGGCTTATGTCTAAAACCATCTCAAACTATTTTGTATCATTTATGTTCAATGTGGATTTTGTTTTTTTTTGTGTATGTCCACACATCCATCTCAACATTCTCATTTATACTATTCCAACATTATGTTGTCCCTTTTAAAGCTCAATGTTCGCTACCGTACAAAATGGTTGGTTGTATAGTAGTTCAATAAAACTTCTTTTTAAGCTTGTTCGGTACCTTCCGAATCATAAATCACTCTTGTTGCCTTTCTTTATTTGAATCACCTAGTTGTTATCTGTGTGTAGCATCCCCATCAATTTCACTATTGTTTTGAATTGCTCCCATATTTCTGCATTTTTTCCCTGTGGTATGATCTAATTTCTCAAGCTCACTTCTAAATTAATACTAATTGGCCTCTTATCAAAATTAAAATGCATTTATTTATTTATTTATTTTTACACTTACATAGGTAGAAACCTTTCGACTCCAAGGTTCTTTTCCATAATTCATCTGCAAAATGCATGCATTTGGGGATTTTCTCTTGGATATATTCAATCAGAACATCTAAAGTAAGGTCAAATAAGTAACGGTTTTATCTCATTTCTAGATATTTTTATATTAGTTGCCTTTTTACATATCTTGTATAGCTTTGATATAGCAACCCAAACTTCTTCCTTTTTGAAGGCTTTCCAAAGTGCTTTTCTTGATATGTGATTATAAGTTATCTTCAAATCAATGGAAACCATGTATAAGTCTCTATCTTTGTTTCGATACTTTTCGTTTAATTTCCTTAGTAGATATATCACATTTATTGCAGCCCTTTCCTACATGAGCCAAATTGGTCTCAAAAATATCAGTCTCCAACCTTAACTAATGTTCAATTACTCTTCCCTGTAATTTTATTGGATGGCTCACAAGCTTTATCCTTTTGTAGTTTGCACAATTTTGAATATCCTTTTTATTCTTGTAAATGAGAGTTAAAGTGCTTCTCCTTTATTCATTAGGTATCTTCTTAGACTGTAAAATCTTATTAAATAGCTTTGTCACAATATCCTCTCTTCACCTAAACATTTTCACATTTCAATAGGGATTCTATTAGGTTTAGTGGTTGTACCATTTTTCATTTTCTTGAGAGCATCTTTAATCTTGCTATCTCAAATCCTATGATAAGGCATCAAATTCTATTCTTCTCGAGTTAAGTCCTCCAATTTGTCTTTAATATCTCTATTTGTAACCAAAACTTTTCGAACACTAGGAAAATGATGGGAAGCTAGTTGATAAAGAAGGGTATCAGTGACTTGTGGGGAAACTCATGTCTTTCCCACGACACTAGATATTACTTTGCTGTAAGTGTATTAAGTCAACACTTTCTGTGTCCTAAATAGAGGCATCTTGAGGTTGTGCGTAGGATTCTAAAGTGTTTGAAAAGCACCCTAGGACAAGGCCTCTAGCTTTAAAAGATAAATCAGACCCACATTCAAGTTTATACTGATGCGGATTAGGTAGGCTCACTTGAAGATAGCCAGGGTGACCGTTTGTGGGGAGAAGTCTAGTTACCTGGAGAAGCAAAAAATAGAATATATTAGCTGTAAGTTGTGCTGAAGCCAAATTCAGATCTGTTGCACAAGGCATTTGTGAAGGATTGTGGCTTAAGAGTGCTTGGAGAGTTGCATATTCCATTAGATTCTCCTATCAAGCCCTATTGTGTTAATAATGCAGCCATGAACATCTCCTATAATCCTGTTCAGCATGATAGAACTAAGTTTGTGGAAGTTGACAGACACTTCATCAAAGATAAAATAGAAGAAGGCATTGTTTGCATGCATCCCTTATGCACCAAGAAGGAATGAAATAGCTGATATATTAACAAAGGTTCCCTAAAAAGTGGAATTTGAAGATTGTGAGCAAGTTGGACATGACCAATATCTATGACCCAACATGAGGAGCGTGTAAATATTTAAGATTTTAGAATTTAATTTACTTATCCTTATTTGTAAATGTTTAATTGTCTAGGATACTGTAGATATTTTATTTTTTACCTGCCAGATACTGTAAATCCTAGTAGATCCCTATTATTTCGACCAAGTGCTCTCTCTAAGCTATATTTATGTTTTGTCCTCCATATGAATGAAAATATGACTCTTCTTTGGTCTATCTTGTTCAAAATTATCTTTTACTTTTTCAAGTATGTATTATATAGGCTTTTATAGTTTTGTATGCTTTAGGTTGCAGTTGAGAAGTCTACGGTGGACAATTCACTGCATGGGTCAACAAAAGAAATTGAGATTGGGAAGAACGGCACTGTCATTAAGAATGACCTAGTATGACATTTTATTTTATGTTTGAAATTGTTAGTGTTTTACTGCTTCCCCTCCTCACCTCTCAAGTAAGCTAGGCAGTTGTCAGTCCGTCCAAATTATGAAATTTGATTGTTTCCCCTAATATTGATTATTGGATGAGCATCTATCTAGTTTGTTGAATGTTACCTAGTAGTTTTTCTTTTTAAGAATTTGCTTAGCTTTTTTTTTTTTTAATAGTGTTTGGTATTTTTTAGGTTGCAGTTGACGAGTCTATGGTGGATGATTTAGCAGCTGGACAGACAAAAGAAGTCAAAATTAGGAAAAACAACAATGGCATTAGAAAAGAGCAAGTATGGAATTTCGTCATGTTTGAGACTTGTGATATTTTAAACCCTGTCCCAGCAAATCAAAAGGAACTTTAATGTGACAAATATAAAAGTTATGAATATTTATGCATTTTTCTTTCTTTTTCCTCTTTAGGGGAGGTGATTTGCATGCAATTTCGTCAATTTAGAATTGTGTGTGATACAGTGCATTACTGTATGCTAATGAATTCTGAATTTCTGATTGTTTTGTAATTCCCACAGCGGTATACAGATACAGTGAATGAACATTATTCCAAGCAGGATGGATTTCTCTGTATTGAGTCAGGAGATATAAGCACATGTTCGTTTGAGCCAAATAAAAGACAAATTAAAATTGAAGACTGATATGATAGAGAGAGAGGAAGAAAGAGAGGGATATGATAAACAGAGAACTGAATAGTGCTCAGACATTGTGAATAACAGCATAGCATACATCTAGGTCTAAACATCTTATTTATAGACTAGGAGCCTTAACTTTCATAATTACTAAAACCCAGCTAACTCTTATTATATATATTATTTACATATCAATAACCCCCCTTAAACAACCCTCGTCCTCAAGGTAGGAATGGGAAAATTTGGAAATTGCTTCTGATAACTGGACTGTGACATCCAGGTATCTTCCTCATTGGATCAAAATTTCAGCAATGATCCTGCTTTTCTTTCTTCCTACCCTTTTATTTAATATTTTCTTAGGAACTAACGCTGCTTGGACTTCCGGCCAATCTTATGGGGGATGTCTCTGTTTAACTGAAGGATTTGGACATAGCTTGTGTAATGATACATGGAAGGTTGAATGAATCCTGGACACAAGGTAATTGCAGCTTGTAGGGGACCTTCTTTACTCTTCCTATCACCTTATATGGTCCAAAGTATCTTGGTGCTAGCTTTTGGGTGCTTCAAGAGGCAATTGAGATCTGTCTATAGGGTTGTAGTTTCAAAAAACCCACTGCCCTATTTCAAATTCACAATCAGACCTCTTTAAATCAGCCTTATATTTCATATGATTTGCTTCACTTCTTAAGTGATGCTTTAATACCCCAATCATGCGTTCTCTTGCTTTAAAGCTTTTATCTACTTCCACTATCGCTTCCCTAGGCTAGTGAGGAGTCTAAATGGATGGCTTCTGAACATAAAGCAATTTATATGGTGTTGCTTTAGTTGAAGTGTGAAAGCTGGTGTTGTATCACCATTAAGCCAATGTTTACAACTTGCTCCATAATCCCAAATAGTATAATGAAAACTTTTAAGCCATTTCTAGCCTTAAATTATGTCATAATTTCTCATATTCTTTTCTAGCTAACCATATGCCATTCCATTTGAGGTTGTGCCTGCAAAACACCCATCCTTCCATTAAGAGTCATAATTCCAAAAAGCGTAATGAAGACTTTTGAGCCTTTTCTAGCCAAAAACAATGTCATTATTTATCATATTCAGGACTCTTAAATCTCTAGAGAACTCCACAACTTGCATTCTCCATTTGAACACTTTCCAAACACCATAAACTTTCAATCTTTATGCTGTAGCTATCATTGCATCTGCCCAATCATTTTCTTGTTCCATCCCATCTTCTTTGCCAATTCATAATCTAGGAAGTCGTGGCCATTTCCATTTTCAATCAGAATTTGAATTGGTTTTGTGAGAATAGTCAAACTTATATTTAATATACTAGAAAGATTTATTCCTTAAACATAGGGATATAATTAGATGAGATCATAGGAGTTAATATTTTATTCTTGATTTGATTTTATTTCCTTTATAGTTGTTATTTGTAAACTATATATGTATAGTGCATTTGTGAATAATATACACGCTCTTGAGAAATTCCAAACCACATGGCATCGGAGCCAATTCAATCAGTCGAGGTTTACAGAGTCACATGATAGCGTGCACGTTGATTCCACTAAGTTTGATTCTAGGCGTTCTCCACTGGCATGACAGGCATCGCACAACACGCCAGGGTCTAGAGCTGCACAATGAGTCTAGAGCTGCACGTTGGTCAGCAGTCTTCTGCGAGCGTCTGTGAGCGTCTTCTCCTGGCGTGACATTCTCGAGTCACGATGCATGAGAACGTATATTCATTAGTATTCTTTGGCGTGGTCAATGTTAGTTTTTTTCCTCGCACTGTGCGTCTCTCTCTCTTTAGATTCCATCAGCAGAATCGTATCACACCTAGGTTCAGACTCATGTGTTCCACAGCTTCCAACTATGGGTATTGGTTTTGGCATAGAAATTGACTCAAATATTAATCCATATGGTGGAACTTCCCAAGGGTTGAGTTCTGCCGAAGGGACCTCTACTCTTCTCATCTCAGAAAAATTCAATGGCTGCAACTATTGAGAATGGGCCCAATCAATCAGACTTGCTATTGGTAGATAAGGCAAGCTGGGTTTAATCACTGGCTACTCTGAGGTTCTAGATGCATTAGACTCGAAGGCTATGGTGACGTGGGAGATTGATAATTCTAGGGTAGCTTCATGGCTGATTAATGCTATGACACCATAAATTCGACGCTCCTTCATGTTTCTTCCAATGGCACGAGATATCTGGGAAGCAGTTAAGGGGTCATATTTGGATGGTGAAGATGGTGCACATCTTTATGATTTGAAGACACGAACTTGGCAGATCAAACAAGGCGAATGAGAGGTAACAGAATTCTATTTGGACCTAGTTGCTATATGGCAAGAAATTGATCTCAACACAGAAGAGGTATGGTCCTATTCCATTGATGCAGTAAGGTACAAGCGTTGTATTGAAGATGAGCAGGTTTTTCAGTTCTTGGTTGGCATTCATCACTCACAGATGATGTTCAAAGTCGCATATTGGCTCGCTCCCCATTACCATCAACTCGTGATGCTTTTGCTGAAGTTTATCGAGAGGCTTCTCATCGTAAGATGATGTTACCTACTCCTTCTTCTGTTCCTCTTTCATCTGAATCTTTTGCTTTAAAGCAGGCATTTTGATCAGGGATAAAAAGATGCAAAAGGCAAAATTGTTTTTGACCATTGTAAGAAGACTAGCCACTCGAAAGATAAGTGTTGGGATCTTCATGGGAAGCCCCTAACTAGAAACCTCGTAAAGGTAAGTGTCATGGTTACTGGGCTACATCTGAGTCTATACAAGGCAAACTTACTTCTTTACTAGCTGTTGATAAGGACCAGTTAAACAAGCTCATGGAAATGCTTCAATCCTTACAATCCATCTAGTCATCCTCTCTATCATATAATGCTTCAGTGGCTAAGAAAGGTAATTCTCATTATGCGTTCAATGTCTGCTCCTCTAAGTCTGAATGGATTGTTCATGACTGTGGATTCTACATTATTTACATCATATGTTCCATGTAGTGGGTGTGAGAAAATTGATACAACTAATGGCACCTTTTCTACTATAGCTAGAAAGGGCAGTATTACTATCTCTAAATTTTTACAGTTGGATTCTGTCCTTCATGCTCCCTATCTTGCTTGTAATTTGTTGTCTATAAGCAAGTTGACTAAACAGGCTCATTGTAGTGCTCAAATTTTTTTTCCGCTCATTGTATTTTCCAGGATCCTTCATCGAGATGATTGGGAATGCTGAGAAGTGTAATGGACTCTACTACTTGGACGAGTCAACCGTGAGTAATCTCTGGTCTCATATCCGCTGCAACCTTGCATCTACCTTTGAAAATGTTGATCTTTTGTTGTGGCATTAATGAATGGGTCATCCCAATGTCCACTGCTTGAGGAGTTTGTTTCCTCATTTTTCATCTAATAAAATTTCTAGTTTTCATTGTGATATTTGTGAGTTAGCCAAACATCATTAATCTTTGTTTTCATGCTTTGAATATAAGCCCTCAACCTTTTTCTATTGTTCAAAGTGATGTGTGGGGTCCTTGTGTTCCTAATAGAACCCATGCCAAGTGGTTAGTCACCTTTATTGATGACCATAATCGTGTGTGCTGGGTATATCTAATGAAAGATAAGACTGATGTGACATCTATTTTCATCAAATTCTTTACAATGATATTGAACTAATTTCACACATCTATTAAAATTCTTCAAATTGATAATGGCATTGAATTTGTTAATAAGTCCTTGAATGACTTTTTTAAGTTTAAGGGAATCATTCATAAGATCTCTCATGCTAACAGCCCTCAACAAAATGGGGTGGCTGAACGGAAAAACATGGACAATAGACGTTATAATGTTAATGCTAGGTCATTGCCCGTAAGTAACGCGCTGCATGGCTCGAGTACAGTGATAAGTGAGTTAGAGCCGCTGCATCGGCGCCCGGATGTAGTGTTAAATGAGCAAGGGCTACCGCGTCATTCTGGACGCATGCGGCTAAAGAAGTTAGTCCATAAGAGCAAAATTAGATTTGGTACTTGGAATGTTGGGACATTAAATTGTAAATTTGTAGAGGTTGTAGGGGTTATGATTCAAAGGAAAATCAATATCCTTTGCTTGCAAGAAACAAAATGGCGTGGAGAAGAAGCTAAGGATATTCAAGGTTTCAAACTTTGGTATACAGGAAAAGTAAGTGCACGCAATGGAGTAGGCATCATTATAGATAAGGAGTGGAAGAAGAACGTTGTAGAAGTTAGCAGAATTGGAGACAGAATTATTTCTTTAAAAATGATAATTGGACGTGAGACTGTTAATATTGTTAGCGCTTATGCGCCGCAAGTCGGGACAGAAGCCAGTCTTAAGGAATTATTTTGGGAGGATCTGGAGGGGTTGATTCGACACATACCACAGAGTGAAAAGATTTTTATTGGAGGAGACTTTAATGGGCATGTTGGGAGGGAAGCTGGTCAGTATGCGAGGGTGCATGGTGGTTTTGGTTTTGGAGAGCTAAACAATGAAGGACAAACTCTTCTTGATTTCTCATTGGCGTATGATTTTAAGATTGCCAACACTTGTTTCAAGAAGAGAGATGAGCATCTCATCACTTACAAAAGTGGAGCCTCAAGGTCGCAGATTGATTTTCTTTTGGTTAGGAACACAAATAGAAAACTTTGTAAAAATTGTAAGGTGATCCCCGGAGATGCTGTAACGACACAACATAGGGTCCTAGTCCTTGATGTGTGTATTATGAGTAAAATCTAAAAACGTCGACAAGTAGTAACACCAAGGATTAGGTGGTGGCAATTAAAAGGTGAGAAGCAAGATATTTTCAAGCGAAATCTTTTGGATAAAGGAATTTGGGATTCTCAGGGAAGTGCTAACATCATATGGGAGGATATGGCTAAAAAGATATGGGAGGTTGCAAAAGTAGTTTTGGGAGAATCGAAAGGTTCTGGTCCGAGAGATAAGGAGTCTTGGTGGTGGAATAATAGTGTACAGGACAAAATCAAGTATAAGAAGAACTGTTTTAAAGCCATACATTTGTGTAACAATGAGGAAAATTGGGAGAGGTATCGTATGGCTAAGAAGGAAACTAAGAGAGCTGTGGGTGAAGCTCGTTCTAAAGCTTTTGAAGAATTTTATAAGAACCTTGAGACGAAGGAAGGAGAGCAAAATATTTATAAGATTGCCAAGAGTAGGGAAAGAAAATCAAGAGATCTAGAACAGGTAAGGTGTATTAAGAATGAAGAGGGAAGAATTTTAGTTACAAATGATGAAATTAAAAATAGATGGGAGACTTATTTTTCTAAACTTTTCAATGATGGAGAGGATTCATCTAGTAACTTGGAGGATTTAGTAACTAGTGAAGGAGAACAAAATTTGTCATTCTATCGAAAAATACGTGATAAGGAGGTAAAGGAAGCTCTTAAGAAAATGGCAAATGGTAGAGCTAACGGACATGATTGTATATCTATCGAAGCGTGGAAATGTTTAGGTGAAGAAGGGGTGAGATGGTTAACTAAGTTATTTAATGTGATTTTACGGTCCAAGAAAATGCCTGATGAGTGGAGGAGAAGTACATTAATTCCTATTTATAAAAATAAAGGAGATATTCAGAATTGTACTAACTATAGAGGGATTAAACTCATGAGCCACACAATGAAATTGTGGGAGAAAGTAATTGAGCACAGGTTGAGATTGGAGACAAGTATTTCTGAGAATCAATTTGGTTTTATGCCAGGTAGATCAACTACAGAGGCGATTTATCTACTAAGGGGATTAATGGAAAAGTATCGTTGTAAAGATAAAGATCTACACATAGTTTTTATTGATTTGGAAAAAGCTTATGGCCGTATACCAAGAGAAGTGCTTTGGAAAGCGTTGGAAAAAAAGGGAGTACGGATTGCTTATATTAAAGCCATACAAGATATGTATGAGGGGGTAAAAACTAGTATAAGAACGCCTAGTGGTCAAACAAAGGATTTTCCTATAAAGATTGGACTACATCAGGGATCATCTCTGAGTCCTTATTTGTTCAACTTGATTTTAAATGTTTTGACGGAACATATTCAAGAGGAAATTCCGAAATGTATGCTCTTCGCGGATGATATAGTTCTTATAGCAGAGACAAAAGAAGAGGTTAATTACAAACTTGAGTTATGGAGGAGGACATTAGAGTCGAAAGGTTTTCGTCTGAGTAGAAGTAAGACGGAATATTTATATTGTAAATTTGGTAAAGGACTATTCGAAAATAATTTGGAAGTGAAATTGGGAGATCAAATTATACCTCAAGTGGAAAAGTTTAGATATTTGGGAGCCATTATTCAAAATGATGGCGAAATCAGTAGAGATATTTCATATAGAATTCAAGGTGGGTGGTTTAATTGGAGAAAAGCTAAAGGAGTTATTTGTGACCGTAAGGTGCCTAATAAACTTAAAGGAAAGTTTTATCGTACTTCTATCAGACTGGCAATGTTATATAGTAGTGAATGCTGGGCTCTAACGGGACAGCAAGAGCATAAAGTTGGAGTAGCAGAGATGAGAATGTTACGATGGATGTGCGGATATACACGTAAAGATAAAATTCGAAATGAGCACATACGTGAAAAAGTGAGGGTGGCACCTATTGAGGAAAAAATGGTAGAAAATCGGTTGAGATGGTTTGGGCATGTACAAAGAAGACTAAGGGAGGCACCAGTGAGAAGAGTGGAACATATAACTTTGAGTCCGATTAAGAGAGGTAGAGGAAGGCCTAAGAGAACACTCTTGGAAGTTGTTGAACGTGATCTCTTAATTAATAATATTTCTAAAAGCTTAATAAATGATAGAGCACAATGGCGTCTTGCAATCCATGTAGCCGACCCCACCTAGTGGGATAAAGGCTTGTTGTTGTTGTTTGTTGTTGTTTGCTTGTTTCCTTTTGTTTACCACAAATGTACCTAAATACTTCTGGGGAGATGCCATTCTTACTACCACTTACCTCATTAATTGTATGCCTAGTAAAATATTGTCCTATTCTACTCCACTTGAGTGTCTGTGCCAAACACACTCTTTCTCATCTTGAGACCAATCTTCCTTTGAAAGTTTTTGGATACTTTGCCTTTGTTCATCTCCATTCATCCACCAAACTTGAGCCTTAAGCTGTCAAGTGTGTGTTCTTGGGTTACTCTTCCACCCAGAAAGGCTATAAATGCTTTGATCCTTCTTCCAAGCATTTTTTTTGTTAGCCATGGTGTCACTTTCTCTGAACATGAGTCCTTTTATCTGTCTCCTTCAATTCAGGGTGAGAGTTGGAGTGAACTTTAGTTGACTCCTAACTGTGAGTATTCTCCTATTGACTCTCTTAACCATACTCCTCTTGATATTCCTCTTGATCTTGTACCTATATCTTTTATGCTAGAAGCAAAAGAAAATGCAAGTTCAGGGGGAGACAAGGATGTAGGTACTAAGGGTAAAGGGATCAAAGTTTACACACAGAAGATGATATAGGGTATAAAGGCTATCATACTTGAGGCAGTACTAGAATTAGAACCGGTGGGAGATTTTAGGAAAGAAAGTCTTGGAAAGGAAGGGGAGAGGATTGATGAAAATCTTGATATGGAGAAGATCTCAGAAGATGATCTGGAATTGCCAATTGCCCTTAGGAAGAAACCTCGATCTTATACACAACATCCCATTCAAAAATACTTGTCATATGAAGCCTTGTCTCCTAGTTACCGAGCATTTATTGCTAATATGGATGATGTTAGCATTCCTAATAACATCTATGAGGCCCTGAAAAGAAGGGGATGGAGAGAGGTCGTCCTAGAAGAAATGAAAGCATTAGAAGAAAATGGGACTTGGGAGATTGTGCATAAGCTGAGGAACAAGAAGCTAGTAAGTTGCAAATGGGTTTTTACCCCGAAATATAAGGCTGATGGGAGGCTTGATAAGTTGAAGGATCGATTGGTGGCTAGAGGGTTCACACAGACTTATGGCGTCGATTACCAGGAAACTTTTGCACCAGTGACAAAATTGAATACTATTCGGGTATTGCTATCTATAGCAGCCAACCTTGAACGGCCATTACACCCAATGGATATCAAAAATGCTTTTTTGAATGGAGAATTAAAAGAAGTTTATATGACCTTGCCCCCTGGCTTCACTAAGGGAAGGGTTGACCAAGTATGCAAATTAAAGAAATCTTTATAAGGTCTAAAGCAGTCCCCATGAGCTTGGTTCGATATATTCTCAAAGGTCTTAAAATTACAAGGCTACCAAAAAGGACTATTGAATCATACCATGTTTGTCAAAGTAGAGAGAGGTAAGAGGTGTATTCTCATTGTATATGTTGATGATATAATTATTTCTGGTAATCACAATGAAGAAATAACATGAGTGAAAGCTTCTCTGGGAAGAGAATTCAAGGTCAAGGACCTTGGACGTCTGAAGTATTTCCCAGGTATGGAGATTGGCAGATCAAAACAGGGTATTTATGTATCTCAAAGAAAGTATGTACTTGGTCTCTTAAAAGAGACAGGTATTGTAGGGTGTAAACTATTTGAAACTCTTGTTGTTGTAAAAAGGAAGCAAAAATCGGAGAAGGAAAAGGGCAATTCTAAGGAAGAAGACAACACAGCTGAGGAAGAGGAAGATAAGGAAAAAGACAAGCTAGTTGACGAAGAGAGATATCAAAGGCTTGTTGGGAAGTTTATCTACCTCTCACACACAAGGCCTGACATAGCATTTGTTGTGAGTGTAACTAGTCTAACTTTATGTTCTTGCTGTCCCGTCAAAGCTCAACATTCACTACCATATAAAATTGTTGGTTTTATAACAGTTCGATGAAACTTTTCTTTAGGCTTATTAGGTACCTTACGATTGTAGATAACTCCTTTAGTTTTTCTCCAATTAAACCACCCTGCTTGTATCCTATGTGCAATATCTCCATCAATTTCCCCATTTTGTTGAATAATCGTTCCCAAATATCTAAACTTTGTCACTTGACGTATGGTTTAATCACCTAATTTCACTTCCAAGTTACTACTCACTGAACTCTTATAAAAAATACAATGTAAATATTCTGTTTTACTTCTACTCAAATTGAAACCTTAGGAGCTATTATTTAATATGATAGGAAAATTGAAGGGGATATTGTACATAAGATATAAGATGGGTGGTTTAATTGGGAAAAAAATGAAGGAGTTATTTGTAATTGTAATGTACCTAATAAACTTAAAGAAAAGTTTTATCGTACTACTATAAGATTAGCTATATTATATGGTAAGGAATGTTGGGCTCTAATGGGACAAATAGAGCATAGAGGTGGAGTAGTAGAGATGGGAATGTTGAGATGGATGTGTGGACATACATGTAAAGATAAAATAGGAAATGAGCACATGCATGAAAAAGCAAGCGTAGCACCTATTGAGGGAAAAATAGTAGAAGATTGTTTGAGATGGTTTGGACATGTATAAAGACTACTATGGGAGGCACTGATGAGGAGAGTGAAACGAATAATATTGAGTTTTGTCAAGAGGGGTAAAGGAAGTTTAAAGATAACACTTTTGGAAGTTGTTGACCAAGATTTTTTAGTGAACATTTTTAAAAGCTTGGTATATGATAGATTACAATGACATCGTACAATCTGTGTAGCCGACCCCGCCTAGTGGGATAAGGCTTTTTGTTGTTGCATTGATTATTCTAATTCATATTCCTTTGACAATTTGAATCCCTAAGTCCTAACAAATGAATGATCACAAAAGGGGAAAAGATTGATTCTTCAATTAGATCAGCAATTTCTATTTTTTTTTTGGTCTTCAGAATAATAGCATGCTTCTAATTTTAGTTTCTATATCTACCATAGATGATTTGATGATCTTTTTGCTAATATCCTAGCCTGATATCTCTTTCTTTTCTTAATATTGATTGCTGCTTAACCATTTATTAATTTTATTGAATTTTACTAGAAGTTATATTTGGTAAATAGCTTTTCAGTATGCATTTTTATGATTGTTTTGGGTATTTTAGGTTGTGCTTGAGAATTCTACAGTGGATGATTTACAACCTGGGTCTACACAAGAAGCTGAGATGATTACAAAAGATATGGTATGATATTTCATTTGATGTTTGATATTTCCCCCTCTTTTCATAAGATTGATCATTGAATGAACCAAGGTTACCAAACTTGTCAAGGAAGGATAAACTAGTAATATTAACTAGAAATGTAAAATTGTAATAGTTTATTGTCTATTAATAAAATAAATAAAAAAAATATAATCATATTGTCGAGATGGCATATATATTAAGTAATTAAATAATATAATCAACACGTAATTATTTTGTTATTTTAAACATATAAATAGATATTTTAATGTAAAACTAAATAATATCTAGTAAATCAAATTTATTAAAATATATTTAATATTTAATTGTGGGATAAGGCTTGTTGTTGTTGTATATTTAATATCTAATAATCTCAATCATATCAATCTTATCTAATGAAAAAAGAATAAAGACCTATATAAACAATAAATATTTGATTTCCGATATAGGCACAAAATTATATCGATCTTGTATAATAAAAATATAATAAAGACTAATAGTTACAAATTAAATATTTGGTTTTCACAAATATAAATGCCGTATTTCTAAATGAAATTATTGAGAAGCATATTTTGGTTAGTAATATTGCTTGAGATTTGTTGTTGATAGAATATAATGATGTTGTGCAATTTATGTAGCCAATTTCACTTGTGGGATAAGACTTTTTGTTTTATCATATCCTTATTTTATTGGCCTAAAGGTTTTGGCTTTTCTATATACTTTGTTGATAAGTCTTAGTAATACACAAGCATCTTCAAATCCTAGTTTCTACGTAGTATCAGAGTCAGGGGGAGTTCGATACATTCGATATGTAGTATCTAACCATGCATTGTTTGGCCTTGAGGGATCCTTTACTTCCAATTTTTGTTAGGTTTGCAACACACTCATTGCTATTGGCCTAGAGGGATTGGTGGTCGCCATTATTCTAGACAAGCTCTCTAGTGAGAATTGCAGAGAGTGGGTTGAATCCATGAAGCTTGTGATTAAAGGTTGTGGAAAACAAGGATGCATCTTTGGTAAGATTAGTGCTCGAGGTTTTGAACAAGGCTTTGAAACTATATGAGTTCAAAAATTCCACGGTTTCATCTTGTCTTGTCAATTCGACAACCTACCATAAAAAGGAGCTTCATGTTTCTCCCTATAGCTTATGAGATATGGAAAGCAGTTTGTGAAGCCTATTCAAATGGTGAGAATACGTCACAAATGTTTGAGATTAGAACTAAGTTCTGGCTAGTGAATTAAGTTGAAAAAAGTGTACCTCTAGCATAGAGGCTGATAAAAGTGTGTTTTGAAAATGGGTCAAAGATTTTGAACCCCTTCTAAGTAGTGGAATATCCAAGAACTACACATTACATGGTATCAAGTTCAAGTGTATTGCTATGGTGGATATGAACAGAAGTGTAGCCAAACACATGAAGAAGAATATTGGATTCAAGATGTAATTTGGGAAAGACACTTTGTAATCATTTAAGGGGAGTATCAGAGGATAAGACTCTACTTGGCATTTAGTTGATACGTCGCTGTTAACATGATATGCCCCAATAGAACTTTGGCACATTGTATGTAAACGAGTACTCTAGCAACTTTGATAATGCGTCTATTTTTCCCTTTGCAACCCTATTTTGTGTATTGGCATGATTACTTTTATGGAATGTATTGTGTAGTAGAAGAGAAGTTTGGTTGAAGTATTTAGTACCATTGTCAATGTGCAAGACTTGGGTGCTTGTATTGAACTAATTTTTTTTTTTTATCATGGTGAATAAATTCAGAAACATAGATGTTCCTTGCCTCTCTTTTAAGAGAAAAACCTAACAAAGGCGAATGTGACCATCTATGAAGGTAATGGACCATTTTGTTTTGGTATAGTTTGGAGTACGGGATGGTTCCCACATGTTACTGTGGATAGTAACAAAGGTCCATCATGTCACCATGGATAGTAGCGCAAGATTTGGTTAGTGTAAACGGTGCTTTGTGGAATGATGTTTTGTAGTGCTTGGCTAGTTTTCACACTCATATTTTATGTCAGGATTATTTATTGAATAAAGGGATGGGAATGGACGAGATAAGTAATGAAAGTCAGACATGATTAATATCCTATGATTCAACTTGAGGGGAGCATGGAAATCAAAGATTTAATTTGTAAATATCTTTATTCTGTTTTAATTAGGTAGTATGTATTTGATTTTATTCCCTATATCATATCCCTATTTTCTGGACCAAAGTTGGCCTCTGCTGGATGCATTCTGCTGATGAGTCTTGATAATACACAAGCTTCTTCAACTCTCTGTTTCTACACTAATAAATCTAATATTTTATTATTTGCTCAATAGAACTCACTAATCTATTATTAAGGCTCATTAACGGATTCTAAAAGTAACATAAATCATCAAAAGAAGATCACAAGATGTCTCATTGCCACATGTATGTTCACCTAATTTTCTTTGTTTTTTTTCTTAATTGCTTATTCTTGTATGAACAAAGCTTGTGAGGGAGGATTAATGTATTGCACGTATCACACAGTGGCCATAGTGTATATCATTGTGGTATTTTGAGAGAGAAAAAGTGTATTTCTCATTTATGTGTATTCTGATGTACAAACTGAAGCTATGTATGCACATCAAGTGAGGTACAACCTAATAAATGCTAATAAAGTCTAATCATGACAATAAATGCTAATTATTCATAATAATGACATAATATTCCCATACTCCCCTCGAGTTGGATCATAAATGCTAATCATGTCCAACTTGCTTATACAACTAAGGTAGGCTTAGGTAGTCCTTTGGTGAGCACATCAGCAGCGTGTAACTTGGTAGGTAGGTATGTCAAACATACAATGTCTTTCTCTACTCTCTCTCTCTCTCTAATAAAATGCCTATCCACCTCAACATGCTTAGATCTCTTGTGTTGTACAAAATTCAATTCCATGCATATGGCAGCCTTTATTGTCACAATACAACTTCATTGGTAGATCAATTTTGACCTGTATTTCTTCCATGACCCTTATTATCCATAGTTCTTCTGTGATTGCTTGAGCTAATGCTCTCAATTTTGATTCAGCATTACTTCTAGATACAACTCTTTGTTTTTGACTTTTCCAAGTCACTAGGTTTCCCCACACAAACGAACAATAGCTAGAGGTGGATCTCCTGTCTCCATTGGTCCCCTTCTCAATTTGCATCTGTATATATCTCAATCGTCCTCTGATCGTGCTTCTTGAATAGCAATCCCTTACCAGGTGTACCTTTAAGGTATTTGAGAATCTTGTATACAGCTTCCAGGTGTTTCTTCCTTGGATCACACATGTATTGACTTGTTACATTGACCACGAAAGCAATATTTGGCCTTGTAATGGATAGATAAATGAACTTTCTAACTAATCTCTGATATCTGTCTTTATCAACCGTTTCTTCTTCTTCATTGTCGTTGTCCTCTTTAACCTCATTATTAGAGTTTTCTTCTCCTTCTAACTCCTCCTTATTGTTTTTCTTAGGTTGCTTGTTTCTTGAGACCACAATAGGAGTTTCTTTAGGTTTACAGCCTAACATGCTAGTTTCCTTGAGAAGACAAGTACGTACTTCCTCTGAGATATATATATATGCCTCATTTTGACCTTGCAACTTCCATTCTAAGAAAATACTTCAAGTTCTTGAAATCCTTGACTTTAAATTCCTTACCAAGGATAGTCTTTATCCTTGTTATTTTCTTAACATGATCTCATGTAAGAATTATATAATCTACATACACAATAAGGATGCACTTCTTTGCTCCCTCAGCCTTAGCAAACATCGTATGATCTAATAATCCTTGTTTGTAACTTAACTTTAGGACCTTTGAGAACTTGTCAAACTATGCTCTAGGTGACTGTTTCAAGCCATATAGAGATTTTTTTAGCCAACATACTTTGTCACTTTTGCTTCTATCAAACCCCAGAGTTAGAGTCATGTAGACTTATTCCTTCAATTCTCCATTTAAAAAGGTATTCTTGATATCTAGTTGATGAAGTTTCCATTCAAGGTTGGTTACTACTGACAATAGAATTCTGATAGTATATAGTTTTGCCATTGGTACAAACATTTCGTTGTAGTCTATACCATATGTTTGGGTGAAACCCCTTGTTATTAATCGTGCCTTTAACTTGTCAAGTGTGCTATCAGCCTTATACTTTGGGATAAAGACCCACTTGCAACTAATTAATTTCTTACCTTTACGTCTCTCAACAATCTCTGTGTTTCATTTTTCTCCAAAGGTTTCATTTCCTCTATAACTGCATTTCTCTATTCTGGTATTTCCAGTGCCTTTTGGATGTTGTTAGGAATAACAATTTTATCCAAATTAGTGATGAAGGCCTAATAACCAGGAGAGAGAGTCTTGTAGCATACATGCTTTTGAATCGAATGTAAGGTACAAGTCCGAGGTGGTTTCCAGAGAGCAATAGGAAGATCAAGTTCAGCAGATTCACTTCCTTGTTCTGAATCATTTGGCTTACTAGATGGATTAGTCCTTGGTACTTCAACTTTAAGAACTACCTCTGGTTCTGACTCTCTTGATGCCTTAGATACAAGTTGCTTACTATCTTTTGATTTCTTCTTTCGAGTATAAACCAATGACTCTTCCTTTTGTGGTCTTTCTACATCTCCCTCTGTTTTCTTGTTCTCCAAACTTTGGCATAAGAGAAGAGATTGGTAAAGGTGGGGTGTTTGACGGAAAAGATGGTGAGGGTAATGATTCTGGTGAGGGCTTAAGAAGTACATATTCTGTGTAAGGTGCTAGTTCCGAAGTCTGAGATTCACCTATATTCTCCCCCTGAATTGAAGAATTGGAATAAAAGGGAGTTTCTTCATGGAAGGTAACATTGAGGCTTACAAGGGTGTGTTTAGAAACAGGATCAAAACATTTGTATCCTTTTTGAGTAGGAGAATAGCCAAGAAAGATGCACTTGATAGCTCGAGGTTCGAGTTTACTGTTTTGGTGGATATGAACAGAGGTTGTGCAACCAAATACTTGAAGCGGAAGTTTGGTTCCAATGTGGGATGTAGGAAAAACACTTTGCAATTTTTGGAGAGGAGTTTTAAAGGATAAGATTCGATTGGGCATTTGATTGATGAGATAGGTTGTGGTTAAAATGACATCCCCCCAATAAAACTTTTGGCACATTGCAAGTGAACATGAATGCTCTTGCAACTTCAAGGATATGTTTATTTTTTCTTTCTACAACCCTTTTTTGTTGAGGGGTGTGGGCACAAGTACTTGTATGGACAATACCATGCATTTGGAGGAAATGACTCAAAGACTAGTTGAAGCACTTAGTACCATTATCATTGTGCTAGACTTGGGTGCTAGTATTGAATGTGGATGAAGAAACTTTTTGATCATGGTGAAGAAACTCATGAATGGGGATGCAGCCTTAGACTTGTTCTTTAAAAGGTAAACCCAAACAAATACGACTAGTCATCAATGAAGGAAATGAACCATTTTCTTTGAGTATGGTTTGGAGTACGAAATGGCCCCCACAGGTCACTGTGAATGATTTTGAAAAGTTTGGTGGGTGTGTATTTGGCTTTGGGAAAGGAAGTTTGATGGTGTTTGGCAAGTTCACACATCTCACACTGGATTTCACTATAATTCAGGTTGGGGCATAAGGTTGGAAACAATCGTTGAAGGTAATGAAAATTAGGATGACTCTCCTCTTACGCCATAACATAAATATTAATGTTAGAGGTAGACACAGAATTACTAAAAATAGGTGAGGTTTCTACTTGAGTAATGACCTTTAAATAATAGAGCCCCTCATACTCCTTAGCATTGCCCATTGTTGTACCAAATGATAGGTCCTAAAACACACAATGAGATGGGAGAAATTTGGCAAAACAATTTGGTTGCTTAGTCAACTGATTGATTGAAAGAAATTTGCAATCAAGCTTTGGCACATGGAGAACAGATTCCAAAACAATAGAATCTGATATACGGATGCTCCCTTTCCCTACCATAGGTGCTAAGGAATCATCTGCAATTTTCACTTTAACATTTCCAGCACACGGGGTGTAAGTGGTGAACAATTGATGAAAGTTAGTCATATGATCGGATGCCCCGAATCCACAATCCAAACCACTGCACTCCGAGTTGTCCTTAAAGCTTGAAGAAAGGGACCTTTTTTTACCACTAATGCTAGAGGTGCAGATCTGGAAAAATTAGTCACGACACTACAGAGGAGTATACATAGCACTTTAAAAAAGGAAAAGACTTCATAATAGACTGAAAATAGAAGCCACAACCTAATATAACTCCAAACTCAACAAAACAAGGCACTACGGATTGATATGGTTCGAAACGA